ATAGCACAGATAGCAGGAATTAGAGAAAGAGAAAACAAAGGTACATCAGAGAGGATCAACAAAGCCAAAAGTTGGTTGTTTGGAAAGGCTAATAAAATTAGCAAATTTCTGGGGAGACTGAGGAAAAAATCTAAACGCACACACACTATTAGGACTTGACAACAAAATGCAGCAAGGAATCTAAAAACTGACTACCTCAGAAGCCTCCATCCCTCCCTGACCCGCATACACTCCCATTCACCAGACTCTTTAATTCCCCACCAACTGACCCCACAAACTGTCATTCCCAAAAGCCAACAAAGCCATCACCTCAAAATCACTGATGACTGTCACGCCACAAACCCTCGTGCACTCGCTTTAGTGCCGCGCGCCAACAAGACTTAAACAGCCTCTGAGGGCCACTTCCGTTTCCTGTCCTCACCTCTGAACCTGCCCCTTCTGGGGCTGTTAATTTCGCACACGATCGCACAAGAGCTGTGTGACTGTGGTCTACTCACTCTGAACAAGGTGCAGTTATGGATCTGCAGAGACTTTGTCCGTGAGCAGCGGTGCCGAGCGAGGAACATGGCTGCGCCAAGGCGTTCCACCATGAGGGCCGCCATCATAGCATCCATTCCGTACAGTGGGCTGTTCCATAGGCAAGGGAGGGGGGGTGTCGTTCATGGGTAGAAACTTTCTGAAGACAAGCTTCCGGGAGAAGCTGGTCTTTGGAACCGAGTTCTATAGGTTTTTGCAAAGTTTACAGAAGCAGAGGTGCCAAACCCCAACCACAGGGGAAGGGGAGATGTGTCCTGATCTTCAAGGGAGATGCCACTGGGAAGAGGGGGGAAAAGTCCCTCCTGGGCGATACCACTGTAGAAGAGAGGGGAGGAGTCAAGGTGGTACAGTCTCGTTTTGACGGACTGTGGAACTGATATGGAGGGGTCTTTAATCCCCCTCAATCTCCATTACCCCACTGAAATGATAGTAGGTAAGAATAATAATACTAGCCTTTGATATGGACAACTAATGTTTTTCAGCAAATTATCAATAGAAAACTATTTAGAAAACATTTTAAGCACACTTTCGATGAAAATGCATCTCCAAGACATGCCCCCAACACCTGCTGTCAACCAGGTTAGCCTCTCTTATATGGAAATTCAGGAACTGCTACTGACTCTTGGGAGAGAAGAGAATTCTGGGTGCTCTTCACCTCTGAACTCCTATACACAGTCTTTAAAACCTAGTCCTAGTATATCCTCCTGCAGGGAGCCTACTCTGACAAGAGGTAAAGAGCTCTTTACCTTGCGTAAGGTGTTTCCAACCCAGCAGGTAGACCCTGGCTAAGCTTGAGTATGGATTACTGGGTACCCTGAAGACATTCATTTCCTTTCTCTGGACCTCAGCTCAACAATCTGGAGAGCTAGAATGTTAGCCTCTCAGATTATCCCATTTTCTCTGTCTCCCCAGCAGTATTTATGAACTGGATGAAAGACAGAATGGCAAATATGAGAATATTGTTGTAACACATGCACCTCGACATAAATTGCCAAAACTTATTATTGTTGTGACTTCTGGTCAACCTCTCAAATCCTAGACCCTGTTTACTTCCATTATCAATGCCTGTCTGAGCTGATCTCAAACCTGAACCTTTCTTAGCTCTACCAACACCTATGTTGCATTTTTCTGATCTGGCTCCATGTTCTCTATTAATGATTCAATCATCAATGTTCTTGTGTTTTGAATTTTGAACATATTGCACTAAAATGTTATTGGTTTTGATTACTGAGTTTTTTGGTGCCCCCTTAAATTTTGCACTTTGAAGTGAGTGTCTCTCTTGCCTTACCCTAGTCCCAGAAAACTTGTTCTCTAAAATCATAGACTATCAGAAACTTTGTTAATTGAAATTATGTCAGTAAGAATAAAACAGCCCACTCTTGCCTGGAGGATCCAAGTCACTTTGACACAGAGAAGCAGACTCGATTTCCAACCTAGGTTCAGAGCTTCAAATAAGGGGTATCTGAAGCAAACATGTCACATTTATTTTTTTAACTTTTTATTTTATATTGGAGTATAGCTGATTAACAACGTTGTGACAGTTTCAGGTGCACAGCAAAGGGACTCAGCCTTGCATGTACACGTATCCGTTCTCCCCCAAACTACCCTCCCATCCAGGCTGCCACATAACATTGAGCAGAGTTCCCTGTGCTATACAGTAGGTCCTTGTTGGTTATCCATTTTAAATATAGCAGTGTGTACATGCTGATCCCAAACTCCCTAACTATCCCTCCCCCCCATGCTTAGACTGAACCCTTATGCTTTTAAAAGTAAAATCAGAAGGCAAGGGTGTAGGGGAATAATTTTCCAATACTGCTCTCATAAACTCTGCTTTGAAATAAAGGAGGCTTTTACTGTTCACAAGGTTATTTGTCAGTTGCAATTTTCCCCTGTATTCCCCCATTCGATCTGGGTTGCCACAATCAGACAGAAAGCATAAGGACACTTTTTTCTTGCATCTGTAGTGGAAACCTTAGCAGACAGTATGTCACATCTTTTTTTTAATTTAGCATTTCTAAATAAAAAGGACCCTGGATCCACCTCACAGTCCAGACTTGACAATGACTCTTTTACATACCAACCTACTTTGCTTTGGGCTAATCAGTACTCTGCTTCATTTAAATTTAACTGAACTCCACTCTTCCCCAACATCCTGTAGTACAGTAAGTCCCCTACATACAACCTTCAGGTTGCGAACTTTCGAAGATGTTGATGTGCGTTCACATGTCCAATCACGTAAATTAGCTCACATGTCTGGTGTACATTGTCATGTGTGTGCATCCTCTATAAGTGGTTGTGCTTTTATGTACTTTACAGTACCATACTGTATAGAATACAGTAGTACAGCATCTTTATTTCAAGCCCAGGATGTCCGGAAGCAAGTGTAAAAGCAGCGGTGATGTAGCTGGTACTGCTGAAGAACCGAAGAGATTCACGATGCAGGAAATGACAAGGGGATTTTCTTTATTTGAAGAGGCACTGTTAGTTTTTGAGGCACAGGACCCGAACGTAGAATGGTACACGAAGGTTGCAGCAGCCGTTCAGAATGCAATCCAGTGCTACCATGTCATCTATGACAAAAAAAGAGGCTAGATAGAACTGAATCCAGCAAGGAACCAGAACCTGTGCCATCAACGTCAGACGTGAGTGAAATTGCAGCTTGCCCTCCGTCTCTCATTGCTGACGATCTTTCAGCTCTACCATCTCCCACCTCCTCTCCTTCCTCCAGTCAGTAACTCTTCTTGCTGTTCAC